TCTTAGTGTTACCTTTTCTTATCGGTACTATTTGTATCATTTTGACTCTATTTTATTGGAAATCTTTTTTTTTTCCTAAAAAAGATACTTTATTCTTTTTAATCACATAAAAATCATTTAAAATTCAAACAACCCTTTATTTCATGATTACAAAAATATTGATTACTCATTATCGTTTGACATTCAACCTGAATTAAATTTTAGAATCAACATAGTTTAAAAAATTAAAAATAAATAAATAAGAAAATAATACTAGAATTAGTTATAATAAAATTTGAAACTACCCCTAAATCTTTTTTAGTGTCTTCAAAAATAACTATTAACATCGGTAGTCAGTACCATAAGAGATAGCTCTATCACTCTCAGTGATTGCCACCATTATCATAGGTGACCATTGCCACCACTATTATCAACCAGTAGTTGTAAGCATCTTAACAATTAATTTATTCTATATTCAATAAAAATAAAATAAATCTATATTAAAAATAATAAGTATACTTTATTTCATGTCAAAAAATTCCATCTTCCCTATTCTTTAGTTTTCTTGTGAGTAGGTTAACGTTATTTTGCAACTGAAATTCCTAAAATCCTTTGGAACAAATATATGTCAAGTGGACTGGAGATATCATGTTATTGTCACAGTGATTTTTATTTTTTTTTTGTTGATCATTTTTGTGGGCGTCTGTATTGTGGAAGTTTGATACAAGCAAAAAATTAGGAAGATCCTAATTTTTAGCAAGCATACAAAAGAGGTTTCCTAAGAAATAATAGAAAAACTAGGACTTTCACACTTACAACCATATATTGACACAAAAACTTAAACAAAATTACATAAGACAAAGCGACAACACTTAAACAAAACAAAAGACAACTTTCATATTAGAAAAAGATGGTTACAAACTTTGACATAAAATTAAACACATAAACTTGCATTTCCTTGAGAAGAAAGATACAAATGGCGCCGAACTTGCTGAGAGAAGAAAGAGGTAAGAAGCCTAGACGAAAGAGAGGACAAGCTCGCAAGCTTTCTTAGAAGAAGAGAGAAATGGAACAAGCTCGCAAGCTTTTCCACGAGGAAACCCACAAGTTAGTTCAAAAAATAAGCCACATAACATTTTTTTTTATCTACAAAAACATCACATATTTATATAGGATAAAAGAGCAGCCAAACAACCACCATAACATCCATTTAAACCAATTAATATAGGGGATATAAAAGGCCAAAAGTCAGTCCAGAACAACACCCAAACAGCCACACAGAAAACCGGGAAAAAAATAGCCAAGGGGGGAAGGAACGGGTGGCCACAAGGGGAACCGAAACAGGCACCACATTGAACCAAAACCAGCAGCCCATGAAACTTTAACTAGTAGCCTAGGGAATCAGAACAAACAACCAAAGGGAATGGAACAGGCAAACCAGGGGAAAGGAATAGGCAGCTCAGGGAACTGAAACAGCAGCCAAAGGGGGAGGAATCATCCACTGGAAGAAGAACCAGGAGGGAAAAACTGAAGGGCCAAGGGAAGGGAAAAGGGCAGCCATAAAAAGGGTAGCCAAATAGGAAACCAAAGGGCCAATAGAGAGGGGGGAATGAACCTAATTAATCCTCAATTTATGAGCTTAAAAGGCTCTCTACTAGACATTAATGAGCTAATTCTAGTAGAGGACCAGGAAGCTCTTCAAATTTACAAATCAAAATATTTTGACCCCACCTTTGCCTACATCAGATTCTCCCCCGGTTGAAAGAGCTCATCTCGTGATGAAGTTGCTTTAAATTTATCCCGAGGAGATGAAGGAGGCACATCCAATTCTCGAATCTTGTCCACAATACTTTTTCAGGATCTCTTCTCATTCTTGCTTGAATTGGTCCTGCATAAATATCTTTTTCTTCATATATCACTCTACATATAGATGCATCTTCATCTCATTAAGTCTATCTACTAGAGCTATGCTACCTTGCCACAGTGCAAATGAATTGATATGTTGGTTTTCCCTCTTTCATCAAGTTTAATTGTATGTTCTTTTTGCTTATATTTTATTGAATGTTGAGCTTTGTTTCAAGTATAAATTGTTGCAAATCTATTTTCATGACTTATGTTTTGATGATTGACAAACAATATTGATTCCCAGGAATCAAAGATCGGATGAACAAACGAAGCCAGTTCAAGATTGCGTAGGTTTAGGGTTGAGTCAGTCTGTACTTTGTTTTTTCTCTTCTTGAGACTATTTGTAATGTTCAAAGAGACTGATGCTAAGTAACCCTACACACACACTTGAGAGACTTAGAATTTCTGTTTTTACTCACATCGGCCAGGACGATATTTTTATCAGCCTGGACGATGTAGTTTAAAACAGAGATTCTATTCGGGATTCTTAATTAAGGCATCCGTCATTAACAGATCGTCCTGGACGATAAACTTAAAACAGAAAGAAATTTCCGCCATAAACAATTAAGGTATTATGTAATTTTTGGTAATCGGCCAGGACGATCTTGGATCGACCTGGACGATATTCATAATTATGCCTTAATTAATCAGACAAATCAAGAAAGTAATTAAGGATGATTGATACGATCATATCGTCCTGGACAATCGCAGGATTGGCCAGGACGATCTATTCAAAAACCTTAGTTACTTCTGGACGATAAATATCGGGCAGCTTGAATCCAGGGCGATGCTCTGAACGATTTTTCTCTGATTTGAACTGATCGGCCGGGACGATCAAGCCAATTTTAAATCGTCCAGTTTGCATTCAGGGCGATGCTCTGGCCGATCTTCTGAGATTTGTACTGATCGGCCTGGACGATGTCTATATCGGCCTGGACGATATTGTCGGCAACTTGCAATTAATGAGCTCCTTTGAAGCTCTTCTATTTAAGAGCTCTTGTTCAACATTTTGAATAATCTTTTGCTGCTGCCTTGACCTGAGAAGATCTTGAGGAGAAAAAGAGAGAGAGAGAGAGAGAGAGAGAGAGAGAGAGAGAGAGAGAGAGAGAGAGAGAGGATCTTGTGAGGGGGAGCTTGTGAGGGGATTCACAAGGGTTGCTTCAAGGATCGCTCTGCGTCTAGAGTTCCTCATCCGTGGAAGGGTCGGTAGAGGTAAGGATTCAGCCTTCTATATAGGGGATATAGAAGGCCAAAAGTCAATCTAGAACATCACCCAAACAACCACACAAAAAACTGGAAAAAAATAGCCAAGGGGGGAAGGAATGGGTGGCCATAAGGGGAACCGGAACAGGCACCACGGGGAACCGGAACCAGCAGCTCAGGGAACCAGAACTAGTAGCCTAGGGAACCGAAATAGGCAACCAAAGGGAATGGAACATGTAAACTAGGGGAAAGGAACATGTATCTGAGGGAACCGAAACAACAACCAAAGGGGGAGGAATCAGCTATAGGAAGAAGAACCAGGAGGGGAAAACTGAAGGGCCAAGGGAAGGGGAATGGGCAGCCATAAAAAGGGGAGCCAAATGGGAAACCAAAGGGCCATTAGAGAGGGGGGAATGAAACTAATTAATCTTCAATTTATGAGCTTAAAAGGCTCTCTACTAGACATTAATGAGCTTATTCTAGTAGAGGACATAGAAGCTCTTAGAATTTACAAATCAAAATATTTTGACCCCCTCTTTGCCTACATCAGATTCTCCAACGATTGAAAGAGCTCATCTGTCGATGAGGTTGCTTTAAATTTATCCCGAGGAGATGAAAGAGGGCGCATCCAATTCTCGAATCTTGTCCGCATACTTTTTCAGGATCTCTTCTCGTTCTTGCTTGAATTGGTTTTGCAGAAATTTCTTTTTCTTCATATATCACTCCGTATATAGATGCATTTTCATCTCATTAAGTCTATCTACTAGAGCTATGCTACCCTGCCACAGTGCAGATGAACTGATATGCTAGATTTCCCTCTTTCATCAAGTTTAATTGTTTGCTCTTTTTGCTTATATTTTATTGAATGTTGAACTTTGTTTTAAATATAAATTTTATCTCTTATGTTGAGTTTTAATGTTTTGAAGCTTAGATGACATAATCAAGCAAATGATATTTTAGAAAGTTATAGAGCTCACCATGCAGATCAACATTGATCCTTTATATAGAAACATTGAATTAGAAATGACAAAAGGATATTAGTCAAAATAAAGTGAGCTGTCACAATAAAAATAAGAGCATAAATTTGATGTCATCACCTCCTGTGGGAATTTGAAGGCACAAGTTGTGTCGTTTGATAATATTCAGGGGCAAATCCAACCTTAATTTTTAACGAGGGGTTTTTTTTTTTTTTTTTTTTTTTGGGGGGGGGGGGGGGGGGGGGGGGGTCCCTTGGTGTTGCCACAAATTTAGCTCGACCCTTCACTGTAAGAAAATGAGTCAATAAAGACAAAAAGAAAATGATCACTAAAGATGATTAATCATTTAATTTCTACAAAATATATGTTGAAGTTGCCTTGAATTTGTGTTGACCCTTATTTGTTCATATCCTTGATCATTGTACGCTTCATAAATATGTTGGGGATCATAGGGGCTAGCGCCCCCTAACAGGATTCGACTCCGGCGAGGGGGGGGGGGGCAATTGTCCCCCTAAACTTATTGTTATATTGATTTTATCTAAACATATGTTTCATGATTATTTATTTTGTTTAATTTTTAGTTATATTTTTATATGATTACATTAATAAAGTAGATTATATTATATTTAAATAAAATTAATATTTTTGACCTTAGATGAGCCATAAAACCTTAAACCTTTCATTCATTAGATTAGGTGCTCTCCGATTTATGAAATCATGATGTTAACCAGAATTTCCAAAATTTCTTACCCAACTTCAAAAAGCACGTGCGTGCGTGTTGATCCGGTGAGCCACGGTTGGTGGGAGGTGCGGCTTAGGTCATCGAAAGCTCCGCTATAGCAGTTTTCCAACAGAAAAATTTTCCTCCATCGGCCTAGATCTCCTGCCACGTGCACTTTACAATTCGGAAACATAATTGGGGTATATTACTCCCCCTCCTTTCCGATTCTTTGAAAGGGAGCGAACGAGGACGAAGGCGCAAAAAAAAAATTTGCCCAAAAATGCAGAGCTCAGCGTTTGCCCTCTCGCCTTCCATCCCTCTCCTCCGTTCACGGAACTCAAACCCTAATCCTAGATGCCGGATCCTTTCGACCTTTTCGGCGGCGAAGCCGTCAGTTGCTCCGATCCGAGGCTGTGGTGCCTCCGGCGGCCTCCGAACGATGTCACCAAGGCTCGGCGGATGGGTACAAGCCTTGTCTTCCTCTCCTTCGCCACGACAAGATCTCGTTGTGAGGGCAAGCTCCGTACCGGAAAGCGCCGGTGAGAGCTCTGCCAAGTCCAGCGAGCTGCTGCAGACGCTGCTACTCGGCTCGCTTTTCGGACTTTGGTACCTATTTAACATCTACTTCAACATCTATAACAAACAGGTAGTTATTCTCTTCCTCTGTTTGTTTTGAGCGTTTTCTGTCATTCGAGAAGTTGGTTTGCAGTTGTATTGCTTGGCTATGATCTGATTCGATTTGTTGTTGGTTGGGTTCGATGTTTTGGTTTTCTGTTTAAGATATAATCAGGTGTTTTTTATTTGAAAAGCCTGTGTTCTAGTAAAATTATGATTTTGGCGCTTCCCATTGGTGATTATGCATTGTTCTCCGCAGTTAATTTGTTTTCTTCTGCAGATCTGTTTGTGATGTTCGGTGAATTTGAGATCTGATAAACTTATAATCGTTCTGGACCTTCTGTATAAGTGTAGTATGTTTTTCCGGTCATGTAGTTTATTCACTTATTTCTTATACAATTTTATTTTGCCTGGATTTATTGACAAATCACTTATTTCTTTGTCTTTTTTCACTTGGGTTTTCCTGTGGCTCCATTCATGAGTTGTAGAGCTAGTTTTTTTTGGGCACAAATTATTGATTTTAAAAATAAGCTCAATCTTTTTCAGAGACAGGGTAATGCTTTTAACACATTTTTATTAGAGTTTTTATCATAAAATAAGATAAATTATATATATATAAACGTACAATTGAGAGCACACATTTAATTTCTCCTGCTGAGTCTTCATATTTTGAAATTATTGTATAACTATTTCATTATCAATATTACTGAAATTTTATTTTTTTTCAATATAAATAATCAAACAATTAATATACAAGAGTGCCATATGATGGCGTTAGTATTTCTTTACAATTTTTTGGCTACAACAGTCGAATTTTTTAGGTTTGAAATAGCCAATGCAAAGTCAGTCACTAATCAGGGTTTTTCGGCCTCAATTGAGCTTATGATTGTGCTTAGGATAAGTTTCTTAGTTTATAATTTCCTTATTATTGTTAACATAAATTATGATGAGGAAGTTTTCAGCTTTAATCTTAATTTATTATGTGCAGAATTGAGTCATATTGCTCCTTTTATATCTCTTTGTTTTTCTTTTCTTCAATTCTTAATGATATTTATAAAACCTTTAACTATTTTTTGCATATTGCATTCTCAATTCTCCAGCTATGTTTGATCCATTTTATCCCTATAAAGCAATTGTCATACAATTAATCTATTCAAGCCCGGAGCATCATTGTGTTTGTCAATTAACAAAGTAAAATATTTTAGAATGTACTTTTAAGGGTGAAACTGAGCTCAATTTCTAAGGTTCGCTTATTAGAAAATATTAAGTTGCATTAGATCTCAATGAACCACTTTTGCATTAATGCAAAAGTACAATGCAAAAAGTGCTGTTGTACTGTACTTATTTTCTTTATTTAGATCCTACAAGGTTGGAGTAGCTCCAGTGATAGATAAGATTAGAGAGAGTTGCCTTAAATGGTTTGGTCACATAAAACGGCTGCTTTGTCTCGGCTAGGAGAGTAGATGTATTAGTTTTGGTTATGTTAAGGAAGGTAGATGTAAGCCTAAGAAGACTTGGTTAGAAAATATTAAAAATGACCTTTCTTTATTAGATTTAAATGAGAATTTGACTCTTAACAGGGCACAATGGAGAAAATGATTCATGTAGCCGACCCACATTGTGGGTTAAAGGCTTGATGTTGTTACTGTTGTTGTTGTAGATCTCTTTAATGGAGGGTATTTAAACAATTGGACACTTTGGTGCTTGACTTTTTATATGTTACATTATCATATTTAAAATATAGGATTCTATGATGCACCGACACGGCACTTAGAGAGGGTATGCAATGTCGGACACATGTCGGAAACGGACACGCGTCGGACACCACATGGACACGTGTCCGACACGGCATTGGAGTGTCGCAATTAAAAAAATTAAAATTAAAATCGGACACGCGTGTCGGACACGAGTTTCCGGTTATTAAATGAGGTATACAACTTAGTACATGCTCGGTACCGCTCAGTACATGCTCGGTATTGCTCAGTACATGCTCGATACCGCTCAGTACATGCTCGGTATTGCTCAGTACATGCTCGGTACCGCTCAGTACATGCTCGGTATTGCTCAGTACATGCTCGGTATTGCTCAGTATATGCTCGGTACCGCTCAGTACATGCTCGGTACCGCTCAGTACATGCTCGGTACTGCTAGGTACATGCTCGGTACCGCTAGGTACATGCTCAGTATTGCTACGTATATGCTCGGTACTACTAGGTACATGCTCGGCACCACTCGGTATCTTCCCATACAAACAACTTACGAACATTAAAAACAAGCAAAACTTCAAAATTACTCTACAATAAAATTTTGTTCCGGGGGCGCTGCCCCCGGAAACCCCCGCAGGGGGTAGCGCCCCCGGAAGACTGGTATATTGTTGTATTAATGTTGTCTTATTATTGGGATATGTTGCTATGCTACTGGCAGGGGTGGATTAGGTGAAGGTTCAAAAGAGACATCTGTCCACGCCGTGTCCGTGCCCTGTATTTTTAAAAATTATTATATATTATATTAAAAAAATATTATGCCGTGTCCACGCCGTACCCGTGTCCTATATTTTTAAAAATTGCCGTGTCCGTGTCGTGTCGCGTCCGTGTCGCCGTGTCCGTGTCGGTGCATCATAGATAGGATTTGATTAATAAATACTGGACGCTTGGTTGAGTTCTATATCCTTGACTTCCATTGTGGAGGTCTTAGGTTTGATTCCTTGAGAAGGGCTATTGTTCAGAATTTTGTAAGTTACTTGACCTTCTATATTAAACTTGGGCACTAACGACACATTTCTTTCCATGATATCGGGTATTTACTTTGTGCCTGGTAAGTCATCATTGTTGGCGATGATAAATACATTCAATCCTCTTTTGCTTAGCTAGAATTGAATGATGTATTCAGTAGCTACCCCAACTTCTTGGCTCTTGAAAGTTTAATTCCATTCATGCTATGATTGGTTAGCTCTTTAACTCTGTCATTGTGAGAGATCTGTAAATTTCTGAATGGAAGGTCAACACAGGCTACCTAGTCTCTTGGTTCCTGAAAGTTAAAATCTATTCACATCTTGTTTGGTTTGGTCTTTAACTCAATCATTATGAGAGATTTGTAGCTTTCTGGGTGCAGATTAACATATCTTAGTTATTTGAGATGTTCTTACTTCTGCTAGTCGTGTGCTTAGAATGCATCTTAGTTGGATGCTTTATTTTGGCTTGATATTTAATTCTACATTTTAGATTACCCTTCTGACGTTGCATATCCTTGAATTTGGTTTTGTTCTTTATCCCATATCTCAATCCAAAATACTAATGCTGTCCTGCTTCATGCATGTGCTTATATTGTTCATGCATGTGACTTGTACTAGCTGGGTTTATATTCCTATATCATTACTTCTAGCTAGCTAATTTTGTTTCACTAGTTGATTGTTGTGGAAAATTCTATAAGATGGTGGTGAGACCTCCAATGCTTTATGGTGCCGAATGTTGGCCATTAAAAGAGAAGCATAATACTAAGTTAAGTGTTGCAGAGATGAGGATGCTTAGGTGGATGAGTGGCTTTACCCTTAGATATAGGATTCAAAATGAGCGTATATGTGAAAAGGTTGGAGTAGCTCCAGTGGAAGATAAGATTAGAGAGAGTTGCCTTAGATGGTTTGGTCATATTAAACGGAGGCCTTCCGATGATCCGGTTAGGAAAGTTGAGGTATTAGATTTGACTTATGTTAAGAAAGGTAGAGGTAAACCTTAAAAAACTTGGTTAGAAAATATTAGAAATGATATTTCTTGATTAGATTTAAATGAGAATTTTACTTTTAACAGGACTTAATGGCAAAAAATGATTCATGTAGCTGGCCCCATGGAGTGGGACAAAGGCTTGATGTTGTTGTTGATTGTTGTGGAATCATTTCTTCACCTACAATTGTAATGGATGCTTTGTTCTGCTTACAAGCACATGATTCTTTAGCAAGTTCGTGGAATTCCTTGTGGTAAATAGCAGACATGGAAGCACTTTAATCCAGCCTCAATCATGCTTCTATCCTCTGAAAGGCAGGCAATTGTAATACACATTGAGGAGTAACTGGGCCTGGAACTGTTAGTTTCTTATTCCAAATACATGGAAGAATAGAGAAACATTTGTCCTTTTTTTTAATTTGTTTTTCTTTTCTAACTTCATTTGTTCATACTGACGTTCTGTTTTTAGTTATATCACATACTTTCTTGCTGCTGATTATTTTCACTATGGTCTTACTGCTAAGTAAACTTTCCGATATAAAATAACATAATTTGTTCTTCTTTTCATGTAGGTGCTCAAAGTTTTTCCCAACCCACTGACAATTACTACTTGTCAGTTTCTAATTGGAACGGTGTTTGTACTTTTTGTGTGGACGACAAATCTTTATAGGAGGCCAAATATAACTTCTTCGCAGGTTTCTATGCTTAATACTAGCCACTATAAACTCAACTTGTTGGTCACAAACTTATCTAATTGATAAAACCTTAAATGTTGCAGCTTTTAGCTATTCTTCCGTTGGCTATTGTCCATACATTAGGCAACCTTTTCACTAATATGAGCCTTGGAAAAGTTGCCGTATCATTTACACATACAATCAAAGCTATGGAACCATTCTTCTCAGTTCTGCTTTCTGCTTTGTTCCTTGGCGAGGTGAACTTTTCCTTTTCCGACACCTTGTAATCAAATCTGATTTTGAAATGATGCCATTATTAATATGCTTATTCTTTTTGTTCATGGAGTTCTAGTTTTAATTAGAGTTAAACGTAATAAATACTTAGTGATACCTATAACTATAGCAACCTGTTTTTTCAGTGTTATTTTATTTTATTATAGTAAATTTTTAAAAAAATGATAATGCGAACTTTGATGGAATCATTAAAACTTATTATTTTATTGCAACACCATATGGCTATATAAAAATGTCTTCAGGTGTAATGATTAAATTAATTGATACGCACTATACTTGATTGTGAATAATATTTAAACTTGTTAACATGGCTAAAATTGTTATATTCATAAAATATACATGCATATTATAGAAAATATATTCACGTATAATATTTATAAAATATAATTGGAGGGTGGGATTAAAACAATGATTAATACAACCTTCTTTATGATCTAGAGGTTGTTATTTTGGATTAGAGAAACAATTTCTCTACAACTCAGGGATACAATTCTCGACATCAATAGTCTCACAAAACCTACATTGGAGGGGAAATTCTCGTTTCTTTGGCACACCCTTTTAATAATACAACATTGTTGTGAGTTTGAAGATATTAAATTCTATTTTTGTAATATAGTTAGTAAATTGTGACTGTATTTCCTTATAAAGATTATCAAATTGTTAAGATTGCCAATTGGACAAATAAAGTCCAATTGCTTGTTTGGATGGCCCTTGATCAACTTTATTGAGGTGCATTGAATAGCTTGGCAGGTGGGAATGGTCAAGCAAAAGGTACAATAACTACAACATATACAAATGCCTATGGCCGACGCTAGAAGATTTGTATGCAAAGCAATGACCACGAGCAAAGGCATAATGCGAATACATTTATATACGGATAACTAGTAGGAGATTCGTTAGTGCACTGCAATACACTTGTAAAAAGCAACAAGTAGTGCATGACAGTCTACCTATACAAAACAAGCAAATGCAGAAGGATCACAACAGACACGAGCTTCTATGAGCCGACATAGAAGACCTGTTAAATATTCCAAAATACCCCTGCATATGCACCACGATATGTATGAACAAAAATATAAAGAAATGTATATGCAATGACACACCCGCATGGGCTCCGACGATCATGTTACGGGTATACACGTGACATCTACGAATGTTGCGCGGGTCAAATGATGAACCCAAGTTCGAGCTCAATCATTCAATTTAGGTAGATAGGAGTCGACACGGTTCGAACCATCAAACAAATATACGGTCGCGACATCGATCGAGATATTTATTTTAATATGTTCATATTAGTCCTTTAAAGTCTATAATCAAGAAAATTCGCTCATAAAAGCATATAGATGACAACGAATCCAATCCTCTGTTGGCAAGTTGACAAAGTCGATAAGGTTCAATCCGTAAATGAAAATTCTTTGTAATACCCTGATGATGGTCATGTTGAATGCAAATCTCAACCGGAGGGGGTTAATTCAAAATATTTTATATGCCGTCCAAATGCCCATGAAAACCTAAAAATTAAAAAAATCCCAAAATTCAAACTATTTAAAAATTGAAATCAAGAATCAACCACTTAAGACAAAAACTCATCCATCCTCCACAACAGTTTATCAAGGTGGACAAATTTGAAAATACACTTCAACTCACAAATAGTTAATGTTTGGTCGAGAATATTATTAGGATTCATTCTCAGACAGTTTCCTGCCAGTAAGGACGTGGCACGTGTTTTCTAACTGGCGGTTTTGCTACCAAATGACACCGCATGTAAACAGTTATGACTGGGGCCCTCTGAACCGGGTGGTTTTGCAGTCAAATGACACCACTAAATTACGGTTATGGCCAGAGCCTGTATGCTTCCCAATGATATCAAATCCTTGAGATATGAATCAATATGATACAATCGATAGGACACAAAACCCTCTGTTAGCTAAGGTGGATTCAGATTTGTCCCCTTTGACAAATATTCACCCCAGGTCTATAAGGTACCCTCGGACGACGCAACCCATGGTTGCCGACAAGGATCCTTTTGTCAGGTTGGGTCAACTATCTCTTCTGACTAAGTAGACCAGGGACCACGATAGCCTGGGATGACGGAACCATGAGATATTGATTGGGTCCATCATCCATCCCCTCACCATCCGCTTTAAGTACGTGGTGGTGAAAATTCTAAATTTTAAATATCAATTCAACAATACCTAAACCCATGCTGCTACTATATGTCGGATACCATGTATCTACGGATATGATGTATTCACTTGACGACCAGCCTTAATCGATAGTTCTCTCTCGTTACCGGGAGGGGTAAGTAATTATAGGAGCTTGCGCCTATCGGAAACAAGAACTCAGATCATAAAGTCCTTGCAAAATGAGATTGAAATTTCTGGGTACTGTCTTATCTTCAAATCTAACCTGCCTTTCCAAAATTTACCCCAGAACTTAATCCGTTAAAACTCCACGAAAGCAACAGGGAGGCCGGGGCGTGAATTTTCAGAGCCCACACCTCTGGTCAATTTATGCTTCACCCTTATCTGCTGACCAAGCCCATGTGATGCACTTGTCATCGTCCAGTGGCACCATCAGTCTGTTCAGAAGTGCAATAGTTTAACAATGCAACCTCTCCAGGTGCTTCAGTTAGGTGATGTTGTCATTCTCTCATCCTCATATGTTGTTGAACACTTGAGCCTTGCCATAACTGCTACCAACATGTCCATGCCTTCAGCTGATGCAATGGCCGTTCGCCACCACTACTGGTCTAAATACATTGATGTTCTAAAATTTCCATTTACCATTTTGCTTGATGTCAAAAGATAGCAGCTACTAGGGAACTCTATTGTGTCTGATTGGTGTTGCAGGGAGTAGCAGGCGGCAACTTGGTGTCGCAGGAGTAATTATTCCGTCAGGTTATCGAATGCATCCGGAAACCAATAACAAAATGCCACGTCACTAAAGTGCTCGGTACCGTGCTCGGTACAGCGCACTCTGTACACTCGGTATGCTCGGTATTGCTCGGTATTTTCACCGGATGTAATAATTTCTCGTGTCGCAGGGTGTAGCAGGGGGTAACTTGGTTCAAATGTCTCTTTATGAGTGTTAGAAAACACAGTCAAGTCATTATTTTTAAACTCCTTGTCAGAAATAATAATTATAATATATTAAATGAGAGAGAGAGAGAGAGATTCAATATTTTAATTTACCAGGATATGATAGTTATTTAGTGATATATATACATGTTTGTTAAATACGACTAAAGTTAACTAAAAATTTAAGATTTCTAAATACTTCTTTCAAAATTATATATTTATTTAATGTTGTTTTATACTATTTTTATTTGTAATCTCTTTGAAATAATTGGTTAGGTTTCTGTTTTATTTACTTGATATTCCAAAGTTATTTTTTGTTTAAAAAAAAAAGAAAAGCCATAAGATAAACTAAACAATACAAACCATAGCTCAAGTGATTGACCTAGTCAAGTCACAGTGCATAACTTCTTATCTGCCAGGCTTGTCTGCATGCAAGCAATGTATTCAGAAATTTACAGTTACTATTTTTGTGTTATTGTGTTCTTGGTGTTTACTTTGTTTTACTTGAAATGTGCAGCAACCTTCCGTCTGGGTTTTATTTTCTCTTGCACCAATTGTTGGTGGTGTGGCTCTAGCATCTATGACCGAAGCTTCTTTTAATTGGTAAGAAAATTTATCGATACCAGTTCAATTAGGAAGCAACATTAGGATGCGTAATCTTTCTCTTACATCTTATTAAGATTAATTTTTGAGTGCTTATTCAACTTGTATTTTGCGCTCTCTATTTCTTCAGTTTGAACTCATTCTTAACCAATCTCTTTACCTTCGTTTATGGTGAACACAGTTTAAGTCAGCTTATCAGTTTGCTTTCATAAAACAGGGCAGGCTTTTGGAGTGCTATGGCTTCCAATTTGACATTTCAATCCCGTAATGTTCTTAGCAAAAAAGTCATGGTCAAGAGAGAGGTTTGTGGACCTTCCATTAAGTGCGAGTGAGAATTTCATGGAACATGGTGCACTGTCCTTTGCTAAATTATAAACCACAATGTCCATGCATACTCCTTGATATTAGGGAACTCTATTTGGCTAAATTCTCTCCAATTTTTATTTCATTGTAGTTCTGATTTATTTATGTAATTTTGAACAGGAATCTCTGGACAATATCAACCTCTTCTCAATTATAACAATTATGTCTCTGCTCCTGTTAGCTCCTGTCACATTCTTTGTTGAAGGCGTCAAGTTCACTCCGTCATACCTACAGTCTGCAGTGAGTTTTCCGGATCTAAAACCTTTTAGACTTGCATGCGTGGATCTACGCACTTTCATGTGTGCTTGCATCCACACTTCTTGTGTGTATGCTTAGAACGTCTTCTGGCTTGATTTGCGCTCCTTATAATGCAGTAACTTGTGATTTCAACATTCCATTTGTACACAAAGAATTAAAAAAAAAAAAAAACAGTACCTTCATCTTGAATGATGGTTATTGCTTCTGTTTCCATAGATGTAACAGAGACGAAAACTAATGCTTCGTTTGGGACGGCTTTTTTGCTGCTTATTAAAGCAGCTTTCGAGTACAAAAATTTTAACTTTTGTACTATAAAGTTGTTTTAAGAAGCAACAAGAAAGCCGTCCCAAACGAAGCCTAAATCTTATTGTTTGATGAGAAAGTTATTTGTGAATATTTGTAATGTTTTTTTAGGTTGAGCTCTTGCTTTAATGATGTGTGCTGGGTCTCATTGCTCCTTTTGTTGTAAACTTTGCAGGGTTTGAACCTCAAGCAAATCTATGTGAGATCCCTGATTGCAGGATTATGCTTTCATGCTTATCAGCAGGTTAGACTTTGCTTTTCATACTTGTATTTCTATATGGTAGTACCAGAAACTATTCTACATGCACTTTACAACCAGAAATTTGATGCTGGCATGCTTCGAATATTGCCCTGTCTGAAGGATACCAAATCATGATTTGTTCCTATTTTATCTTATGATGCATCTTCCGGATCAGAGTCAATCTTATAAAACATTAGAAAGATTGATTAAAGCGTCTGAAACTTCTGTGCAAAGTTTGCTAACCAGTTTTCGGCTGGAATTTGAAGCGAACTAAAGTGATAATCCTCGAGTTGATAATCTATAGATTTTTTTTTTTGGGAATATATATTTGAATGCATTTGATCATGAGAAAGGCTAATGCAACGGCTTGTAATTTATAAATTTACAGGTTTCGTATATGATTCTGTCAAGAGTTTCCCCTGTTACCCACTCAGTTGGTAACTGCGTCAAACGTGTGGTCGTGATTGTGACATCAGTTCTCTTCTTCAGGACTCCAGTTTCTCCCATCAATTCCATTGGTAATTTGTTCTGCCCCACCTTCCCTTAATTGCCATTAACGACCTCAGACCAACCTATCTTCACCTTAAATCACAAGATCCCTAATAAAATTCCCACTGATGCCTTGTTGCAGGAACTGGAATTGCACTTGCGGGTGTTTTCCTCTACTCCAGGGTCAAAAGGATCAAGCCAAAGACTGCATAAAAGGTTACATGCTGTCATTTTTGTCGTAGAATTAATCAAGAACTACTGTTATATTATTCTTTCGGGGCTTTGCTTTTATGCATTTATGTGAGGATTGCTATCATTGATGTTTCGATAATGTAGTTGTTCCTCTTGTGATAGATTTGGTATTCAATTCAAACATATAGCACTTTAGAGACATAAAATATTTCATGTTTATGAACCGTTATAGAGTTTTGAAGATGTTTCTTGTTATCAAATATAATAAAAGATTGTTCTATCGGCTTTTCTATTGTTTGGTGTCGACTTTCTTATTCATCTACTTAAAATGATTTTGGGAAGTTTTATAACTTTTCTGCTGGTGTTTGACTTTGGCAAGTTCTTGTTCTACAAATTTGATTCAGAGAATGCTAATCCTCTTCCTTGAAATGCCAATCTTATTAATGGCAGCTATAACAAGCAATTCTGGAGCAGGATCCTAATTGATATAAAGCTTCGACGTTGAAATATATGGGAGCCCATTAGCCCAACTTATTGGCGGCGCAATAAAAAAACAATGTCCCCTCATATGGAGAAATTATTAGGCGCGGAGTCCGGACATAGAGATATGTACGGACATCCATTTAAAATTTGACACATTTAGTGCACCTTGGTTGCATTCTTTTTGTGCGTTGTACTTGTGTTTTAGTTGCACTTTAGCTGTGCTTTGATTGCTTTTTTGTTGCCTTTTTTATTGCGCTTTACTTGTGCTTTACGCTTTTGGTGCGCTTGGCTTAAAGTTTTGCGGACATATTAAATATATAAAATAAACAATAAATCCAATTGAATATTCACATCCATTTTATGTGTCAATATTTTACTGGAGTCCGGACATATCTCTACGTCCAGACTCCGCATGCGGAGTGTCCGGAGACTAATAAAAATGTGCCTCATCACCTCATTGGTGGTTACCTATCTCAGTACCGCTGGGTACTGCTAGGTACCCAGTGCCTGTGCGGACGATTCTCCCGTCCGCACTACACACCTAATAATTTCTCGTCAAACTAACCAATGGAGCTTTTCTTGCTGGTTATCTTCTTCCTCGCTGATTCCCCACCCATTTTCATGGCGTCATAGCTCCTTTGATCTTTCCAACAACCTATCCATTCGGCTGGAACCTTCTCTCTTCTTCAATCAGCCCAACTGATGAATATCTTTATATTATTCCAACCTTATGTTCCACACTTCCTGCACTATCTTCTCTTCCCTGAGGTCAGAACAATTCTCCTTCTCGCTGCCTTTCACCAAGCAAGCTCATTTCCTGTTATTTTTCTCCCATGGTTTAGTTTTATTCTTATGTTATATAAGAATATTTTCTACCCTCATGTAATTTATCTTTCATTTTTCTTTTCTTTTCAATTCAATTGAGCTATGCTGTAAATTTCATGGAAAAAGAAAAGGAAAAAAAAAAAAAAAACCATTAGATTTGATAAAATATGGTATTCAAACACTTGAGTGGAGTTTCAATGATAGCTTTGAATTTTCTTCTGCATATTGATTTTGCAAGATTACTCCATCTGTTCAACGAAGAAAAAGATAAAAAAGCAAAAAAAAAAAAAAAAAGCTATTGCAACGCAGAGAATCAATCATAAATCGCTACATTACCTTGTAGCGAGCATTGGTACCGAGCAAAAACATGACGTGATTGAGTTCTGGTTGGTATCCGGACCATCTGATGTCTGCACAATAATTTTTTCTCTTTTGGGATGATTTTGTTATTGCTTTTTAAAGCAATTTTTTGTATAAAATTTTAATTTTTGTATTAAAAAATTATTTTAAGAAATAATAAGAAACCCGTCTTAAATAAAATCTGAAACTTATTATGATGTTGCTATAATATATGATTTAGAGAGTTTGGTATAAATAATCTTACTCTTATTGTTTTAGAGAAATTATTTTAATAATGGAAACTATAATTTTCATATCCTAATGCAGACAAATGAATTATTACCTTCTCAATCACAACTTTCTAAGCAATTAGCATAAATGTTAGGCCAAAAAGTCCTGCATTGCAACCTTCACAGGCACTTTAATGGCACTAATATTGTAATAAACTTCAGTGGCATCAATTAGGATTCCCAAATAAATGAAAAAAAATTATGATGGTCACACTGAATTAATCATAACAAATAAGAAAATTAGGCTTTATTTGAGATATATTTCTTACTATTTTCTAAATCAATTTTCTTAATACAAAATTTTTTAGTTCAAAATTTTTTATAAGAAAAAACTGTTTTAGAAATCAATAAAAAATTGTCCCGAACGTTCATCTCATTCAAATCTTCTGTTTTATAGGCCATAATAAAAAATAACAATTAATTTCAATTTAATTAAAAAAATCCAAATAAGGCCACATTTTGGAGCCTTAGTAGAGTAAAGTAACCTTACCCAAATCCTCATTTAATGATTATTTTATAGCTTATGTTAGTGATTTATTTTATATTTTTCTATCAAACTTGTTTTCTACATAAGATATTTCAATAGGTTTATGTGTAGTTTACATACTTATGGAGTAAATAATTGCAAACCAATGTAAAATTTTATTTTATTTAATAAAATATTTGGATTTCAAAAGAATATGACTAAGGATGAATGAATTAATGAGTTTACTTACAAGTATAATTATTCTTATCTCATACATTTAGACAAAAGTGCTAAAAAATCTTATTTGAATTTGTGCTCAACAAAAAGCTTGCATGTATGGTTGAAAGCAATTTTAAAATAATAATTTTGTAATAAATGCTCATGACTTTGAGATTGATAAGTAATAAATGAATAAATTTTAATAAAATAATATTTGTGTGAAACTGGCTCTCGATTAGAGATCTATTCGAGCAAATGTGATGGATTGTATAACTTATTCTACTTCATTTTATTTTTGTTGCATGCCAGCATTTTAGTCAGGAATATGAGGGCATTAATGTAAAAATGTATAGGCTCAATATCTGATGTGGGCCATACTTTGAAAAAAAAGAAAAAAACAAAATATTATTTTTCTTAGCTCATGTAATAGTCAAAAATACTTATCTTACCCACTTAAAATATAAATTCTCTAAAGTTTCTAATTTCATCTATTGAATATAGTTAGGATGGCCTATGAGGACCAAAAAATCACCTTACATCATCATACATATATGCTTACTCATTGAAGATTTTTTATTTTTTATTTTTTGTCAAGAATATGAATTTATTTGTAAGCTAAATATTAATATTTTAATTTAACTCTTATAAATAAAGTAAAATTATTAATAATTCTAATAAGACAATTTAATAATTAGTCAATGGTTTGGGCAATTGCATTGCTTGTATAAATTTACTTATAGCTTTGATTAATTTAGGGTATTGTAACAATGCATTAAGAGTCCTTCCAACATATATAATTATAGAATGAAAGGTGTCTTTCATGATATCCATTCATAGTAAAGTCTTATAGAAATTTGGTTATTTATTGGTGTTTTATCATAAAATGTTTTAGTTATTAATATATTAGAATTAATATGAGCTTATTCTATTAAACTCTATTGATATATAGTTTGTAGATATTAATATGAATGTAACATTTTGTAACTTTAAAGTGAATATTCTCTTTAATTTCTTTTAAAATTCATATATTCAACTATTTAAAAATATCTCTATGCATATTTTCTTATTTTTCTTTGTAGAAGAAACTTTTTCTTCGTGTTGAATTTTCTTTTTATAAGAAATTCACAATAAAAAATACACACAAAGATTTATTATAAAAATATAAAATCATAATAAAAGAAGTTCTTTTGTTAGTAAGAAGATGAAAATTATGAAGATAAAGACGAAGCTATAGTGAGGGCCATAGGTGCACGAGATCCATTGGAAGACCAACTCACAAGTGCCTTTATTTTTTATTATTTTTTTTAAATATCACTATATAAAAATAGGCTTTTATTGAAATAAGACATGCAACTATTAAAATCTAATTTACCTAGCTTTATTTTGGATTTTTGAGAGTTTGAATAATCTTCGTTACTTAATTTTGCAAAGAACTTAAAATTTACTTATTTACATATATAGCACTCAAAATTCATACACATCCTAAAATATAAAATACTCTATTAACTTATTTTAATGAGCTTGACAATGACAAGAAATATAATATATTTGTAAATATTGGGCCTTTGTCAAAGAGTTGAGGCCTACAAGTAGATAATGGATAATACTTTTCACATATAAACCTAGTGCTATATGCAATTTTTGCAAGGCCCATGACTCTCTTTGATTAATATAAAAAATATTTATCAATTTTTGGGTAAAGTTTGATCATTGACATGTAAAGATTATTATAGATCAAGTAATTAATATCTCTATTTGTTAAAAGGGTGAGAAAATTATAAATAATTATATTTTTTATTGAATTTTTATATAAATACAAATATGTACATACCTATATGTAGAGATAATAAGAGAATAATAAAATTACAATAAAAAGGAGTTTTTTTCAATAATAATGAAAATATAATAATAACAATTAACACTAATTCCTATTATAAATAATATATATATATAATTTAAAAATGATAACACTATTATTACATTTTCTATTGGATTGCAATTTAGCACAAATTATATTTGCTCTCAAGAATGAATTAGATTTATTTAGACAAATGATCCATTTTTAAGAAATAGAAAATATATTATTAAATATTTAATATATTTTTTTCCTGGAGATTATTATTTTTTTCATAATAAATCTGAGCTATATATTTTACAATTTATACATCAACATTAAAAAAATAATAATATAACTTCACTAGTTCAAGTTTCTCAAAAGTAATATATTCTATCCCCTTGAAATGATATACTTTTGATAAATTAAAAATAATGTCAAAATTATAAAGAAAGATGATTATACCTGTTAAATTGTTAGAATTAATTCAAAATGATTTGCAAATAATAATTTTAACATATCAATCGATGACACTCAATTGAAACGAACATAGAAATAATAATTTAAGGGATAGGGGTAATGATTCTTTAATATGCACATGTAAAACTACCCGCTTGCTATCAATAAGTAAATATGGAAGCTTAAATTAGTTAATGTTTAGCTTGATTCTTGGCTTTATTAAAAAGATAGTCGAAGTAAATGTGATGGATTGCATAACTTATTATGTTGTTGCAATATAATAGGTTTTGAATGCAAAAAATGAGCGTAATTTTTATATATGTATAATGATTTCAAAATATAAATACTTGGGGGAGAAATTTTTATATTAATTACTCTA